CCTATACGCAAACGCTCCATAGGCTGACATGTCTACGTCATTCCTATAATTCCAAAGATAGCAGATATTTTCGTTATTAACTTAAGTTATTATAAAATAAATTTAAACTGACAAACATAGAGTATATGTACCCGTTGTTAGTCTTATGGCAACTTGTCAGCCCTCTTAACTAGTTGAGATCAAAGTGTTTTGTTTTTGTTTCATTACGATTTGAGGCGAGCCGTTGAACGTACTGTAAAGTTAAGCGTATGCATCTATAGGCAACATGTTTTGTAACCGTTAATAACACTGAGCATGCGTTTATCATACCCTAGCAACAAGTACAGACGAGCGCGTTAGCCACCTAGTGATCACCAACGCTAAAATATATTAATAACAGTGTTTAGAACAAGAATGGCTCCTGTTGTTGTTTTTTCAATATGTGCACAAGGAATCAGTCAATATTTACCTCTTGTACCAAGATCAAAGTTAAACCTTTCAACATGTATTGAAAACTTATAATAAATAGATACAGCCTTGAAGAAGAATAGCGATATTTATCTAAATTTCAATACATATATACGTCAAAATAAAGTACAAAAGAAGATCCTAGAAGACGCTTTTCTAAATGGCCTAAATCAAAGTTGTTTAAGTCTAAAATGCATCGGTTTTGTACACTGTGAGTGTTTATTTGATTTAGTTTGAATTTCGCGCAAAGCTACTCGAAGGCTATCTGCGCTAGCCCTCCCTAATTTAGCAGTGAAAAACTAGAAGGAAGGCAGCTAATCATCACAACCCACCGCCAACGAATAGAGAGACTGAACGTCATATAACGTCCCCACGACTGAAAAAGGAAAACATGTTTGGTGAAACGAAGATTCGAGCCCGAGACCCCCAGATTGCGAGTCGAGCGCCCTAACCACTTATTTATTTGAGATCATGCGTACAATTAAAAAACTGGTTTCACACAAAACACAGAATAACTAGCTCAACGATACTAAGTTTTCTAATATTTTCAAAATTGGCAAGCGTTTGAAAAACACGTCCACGCTCTCATAATTAACCCTCAAACTTGTTTTGAAACTTTTCACTTCCTATTTGTATCATACTGAGTAATTTTATGTATTCGCCTGTTACGAAACTCAGAAAAAAGGACGAAATTACTCATTTTACGTATTAAGATACATAGCGGATGAGTGTATTAAACTGATGAAACAATGTATTTTAATCTTCGACTCTGTTAAATTCATTAACTTTTGTATGTGTATATATATATACATTAAAACCACGTTGTTAGATTCCCGTCATGCTCTATACATATAACGATCGTGCCTTTTCACAATATCCCTGCAGCATAGTTTTCATTGTAATCAGTGTCATGTCCAAAGCACACCACGCTTCTATCGTGTTTTCCACAACCCAGCTAGTATACGAGGATGACAGATTCCGAGAGCCTGTTTTAACAGACATATCACACAAATCCATAGGGACTGCGCCTGTACACGAGATTAGTATGTCTTCACATGAGGTACCAGTTTTTTCTCCAGCTTTTTGACATATGTGACGGTTTAACGGAAGGAATGACTGAAAGCATTAATTGGCCATACCTATACCCTTCTTGGTAATGTTGCGTGGATTCTCATGTGTTACAAGGTGCCACGCTTTACTTACTATTGTTTGTGTATGATTTGTTGTAGGTCTCTTTCTGGATGGTCCTGGTGCTCCAAGTTGAACCATATTTTTATGTTTTATAATAACATTACGCACAAGAGATACCCTGGTCTTATAAGTTCTAAATCTTTGATATGAACACATGTTTTATGTCGGAAAGGGAGATGCTCTTGCCAAAAAGAATTAGTTCTTTGTGACACCACCTGCGTAACGGTAAATAATGTCAAAATGTAGACTTGATAGTCTCCGTTCCACCATGACTTTATATTGGTCGTGGTAGTGACTTGACTCACTGATTGCGTACTCAAAATCGTTATAATATAACGTATTCAACCCTCTGTATGTTACCTTATAAGTAGATATCCCGGTATATATATATATAGAGAGAGAGAGAGAGAGAAGTAAAATTTAAAGAAAAATTAAATACAAAAGAAAGGATTATGATAAACGACATTTGAAGAAA